GGGATGGGAATGCCCCACGGCAGGGGCCTGTCGCCCGCTCTGCGGAGACGGCCTAGTCTTCCCCGGTGTTGAAGAATGTGATGATGGAGGTTTACTTCTGGGCTGTACGTCTGGCTGCAAGCTGGCTGAATGCCAGCGCATGAATGTCGTGGCCAAACCAGAGTCTGAGGAAATTGACCTGGAGATGCACACACTATGGATGGAAGCATTCCAGATGCCTGCACCTCCTTCCTCCGATCTTCTAGCCATGCAGGGCTACCGTCTGTGCTTCAACTTCACGGAGGCTGTCAACCACTCTGTCCCCCGAGATGCCTTTGTGGAGTGCGTCGGTGAGCAGCGGCTGACGTTCCTCGTGGACGGCCAGAATGGCACACTGGAGCGTTATGATCTCGACTTCAGCCCTTTGACTTTTGATGCCAGGCCTGGAACGGAGCTCCACTCTGGTCCACACCAAGTTCGTGTGCGAGAACACATGGAAGACACCAACAGTAATACATCCGAACATGAGCTAGTCGTAAGCTGCCGCGCTGGCTTCCAGGTCTGGGATGCCTGCATCCTTTGGGCAGTCCGCGAAGGCTCACCTGCCGCAGCCAAGGCGAAACCTTCTGGCGAGGCCCACAGCTTCCTCATCTATGCAGCTCCAGCAGGCCTTTGGAACTGCGACCGGCGTGCTACGCCCAGCTGCGGCGATGGCCAGCTGACCGGGCGGGAAGAGTGCGATGATGGCAACATGGAGGATTCTGATGGATGCTCTGCGCAGTGCACGTTGGAGCCTGGGTTCCTTTGCCCATCCCCTGGAGCTTCCTGCTACAAGGCGGTCTGCGGCGATGGCATCGCAGGACCTCTCACGTTTTAACTTTTAACATATCCCTTCGACCTGGTCGCTTTTTCTTTTGCGTTCCTTGTCTCCATCTGACAAACGTTACACGGTAGGGCTTGGTAGGGGAAGGAGCACAAGTAGCTTGGGCTACTTCTTTTCAGAGTTGGAGCTGATGTTCACAGCCTGTGCCAAACAAGTTCACCTGTGCCAGGACCTTGGCCAACGCTGTGCGACTCTGCCAGCGAGGGGTGTGAGGCTTGCGTTGTTGGAGACGGCTTTCTATGCCGCGCCGTGTGCAACACGAGCTTTCCCCCAGTGACAGCCGACTTCGAGGACTTTTTCTCAGCTGATGAAACCCAACAATGCTGTCTTCAGGGACCGCAGCCTTCAAACTTCACGTGTGTCCTCGGCAGTGTTTGCATCATTCAGCTTGCAGCAGACGTTGAAAATGGCACGTCTCGTGCACTGATCACCCCAACAGATGGCTTTCCATGTGGTGATTCCTCCCGACTTGCAGATTGGGCCGGACCAGGCTTCCACAACCCGTCTCTGTTCTCGAATGCTGCGTCCTGTGGCATAAGCATTACCTTCGGCATTCCCCTCACCGGCGCACCTGGAACGTACCGGCTTTGTTGGGGTCCTTGGCCTGAGGCACCCTGGGCTGGAAACATGATGATGCTCCTTGGCCGGACCTTGAAGGTGTCCCCAGAGCTACGAGAGCTGTGAAGCCTGTGAAACACGCGCTGTCGTCAGGGAGTTGTACAGGAAAGCTAGATGCACAGAAGCTGTTCTGCCGGCGTTTTCCATCGAGGTCCCCCTTTTGATGCCAGTGAGCTTGTGTCGCTAGTGGAAAAGCATGGAGCCTGCTGCTGTCGCCTGAGGGACGACGTTTCTCAGGTGGTAGCGGAGCGCTTGGTGAGCCTGGATTTCAGGCGGCTCGAGGGCGCACAGTCTTCGCTTTGGAGCTGGATAGAATATGAGCGGAACTGGAAAAGAGGATGAGAGACCTAAGCTGGAACGGTTCGACGGGTCGCAGCCTTCACTTTACCGGAAGTGGCGCCGCAAAGCGCAACTGATGCTTCTGGCTTTGCCGACCACATTCACCAAGGATCGTTGGGGAGCTAAGCTGATGGAGTATCTAGCAGGTGAAGCAGAAGAAGTTTGCGAGGCGCTGTCAATTGAAAAGTTGACAAAGGAGGGCGGCCATGAACTGGTGTTCGAGGTGTTGGATGCCAAGTACAAGGAGCTGCAGCAGGATGCTTTGCATAAGCATCTCACAGAGTACTTTTTTGGAACAAGTATTCGGGCCAATGAGACGTACAGGAATCTGGTTGTACGCTTGGAGACAGCCTACAGGCGACTTCAAGAGCACCCAGTGGAACTGCCAGAAGAAGTTCGTGGGTGGTTTCTGTTGAGGAAGCTACAGCTGGAGACAAGTGCGGAGGCCATGGTACTCACACACACTCGTGGTTCCTTAAAGTACAAGGATGTGACAGCGGCGGTGCAGGCCATCTTTCCTCAAGGTGTCGCGAAAGCAGGCAATCACAAGGGTCGTGATGTCTTCGAGGCTCTTACCGAGGATGGCGAGGAGCACGACGAGCTGGAGGATGGCAGCGAGGACGTCTTCCAGGCAGTGGCGGATACCATCCAGAACCAGGAAAACTACGACGAGGAGGACGCTATAGAGGTGTTCGAGACTTACCAGGATATCCGCAAGAAGATGCAGCAGAAGAAAATGAACCGTGGCTACCGGCCAACAAATCCTTCTACCAAGTGGACGCTTTCGGGAACAGTTCGAGGCAAGATAGAGCAGCTGAAGGCAAAGAGCAAATGTCATATCTGCAATGAAACTGGTCACTGTGAGTGTCCCAAAAAGAAGGGTGGCAGTGTGGCAGCAAGTTCAAGGACGAACCACTCCAGCGAGGCCATGATGTCCGACCAGGCAGGAGACAGCAGCTTGGGCGAGATAGGCCAGGAGCTTTTCACTCAAGAGGAAGACATCGACAAGTTGGAGATCTTCTTGGCTGAGCGTGATGGACATGTCGATGTAGTTTTGGCTGATCCTCGCAGTCATGAAGACGGCGAGGGCGGAGACAAGGGGGATCTTGAAAGCAAGATCTTTGAGTTTTTCAAGAAGGACGAAGATTGCGCAGCGTCCAGCGAGTCATACATGGCTGATCTTGCTACGCATGGGGTTCCAGACACAGCATGTAGGAGAACTCTGATAGGTGAGAGTGTTCTGCAGCGCATGTCTGAAGTGCTGGGTAGGGCTGGCTTGCAAGTGCGATATGTTGATGAGAGTCATGAGTTTAAGTTTGGGAATGCGGGGTTGATTCGCACTGACAGGTCAGTAGTGATCCCAGTCAAGCTGGGGAAGAAGCAGCTTGCTATAAAGGCGGCTGTTTTACCAGGTAGTGGCGCAGAGACTCCACTGCTTCTGTCCAAGGAGTTACTTAGGGGTTTGAGAGCTAACTTGGATATGGGGAATGATGTTTTAGTTGTTCCGAGGTGTGGGGTTTCACTTAAGCTTCGGGAGACTGAGCGTGGCCACTATGCAATACCGCTCTTCGAGGGTATGGGTGTCATGGAGTCGTCGACAGACATGAAGTTGCAGGTCGAGGATCTGAGCTGACAGCTCCTGAGGCGCACTCGTCTCCAGCTGAGGCTGTACATCCTGGAGAAGCCCCTCTATCAGAGGAGTCATGACGTACCCCGCTGCATGCTGATCCAGGTCCATGTCCGCCACGGTATAGCTCATTCTCCCTTTTTGCAGCGTCTGGCCCTTCTAGATGAATCACCTTGGAACCAAAATCCTCTGCGGCATTCACCTCCTGCGTCTTCTCCGATCACGAAAGCGACGCGCCAGAAGGGCTCGTGCCAAACTTAAGCGGCAGGACCTTGTTCAACGTGGGCAAGTACCAGAAGGCGGGCCAAGCAGTGAACTTTGCAACGGCGTACTTGCAGGACAAGCCGTATGTCGCTTGGGTGAGGAAGTTCATCAAGTCCGGGAGCAGCACCTCGGGGAAGACAAATCACCCAACAATGTCCCAGTTTCGGCGAGATCAGAAGAAATCGACAAAGATTGCAGAGGACACCGGGCCGATTGTGACCACTCTTGGGGCCTCTCCCAAGGCCAAAGCCAAAGCCAAGGCAAAGGCGATGGCGTCAACGAGTTCCTCATGGCAGGCTCCACCCAGGTCGCGGCCGAGCGAGAGAGCGGCAGCGGACAACGAGTGGATCGTGACAAGTGCGGTGCAGGAGCCTTCGTCGACCTCGAGCAGCGATCGGCGACGCCAACGGCTGCAACAGCAGATCGAGATGTTGACTCACGAGCTGGAGCGGCTGAACGAGGAGGAAGAGAACGAGTAGATGATGATGAGGTTTGCGAACCAAAGCATATGAGCAAGGGTGAGAAAAGGCTGTGCAGGCGTGGTGTGGAGATTTGTGATGTTCCAGTGAAGGAAGAGCAGCCAGTACCATGCGGAACTGACCTGTTATTCTTGGAAGCTGGAGCGGAGTTGTCAATAGCCACGGCAGCCGGACTCACCGCCGATGTTGTTTTTCCAGAGGGTCGCTTGAATGCTCGAGCGATGTGTATGTCCGAGACTGTGTCCTACGCAGTGAAAAAGGTACGTCAGTCCTGGAGGTCCCTGCGGCTTTAAATTAAAGCCGTGGCTTTAATTTGCGACCGTGGCTTTAATTTGCGGCCGTTGCTTTAATTTGCGGCCGTTGCTTTAATTGCACAGGGCCCCGGAACGGGGCCCCTAAAGAAAGCCATATATGGCTTTAATTGCTGGGCACTCGACGAGCCTTTCATGCATGTAGTTTTTATGGCTCAAACGCAACGGTGAGGTG